TACATACACACAAACACATCCACAGACGTACATACACACATGCATACAGACACACAGACATACACATAAACACATACACACATACACATGACCCGGCTTCGCCCGGGACTTGGATCCACCACGCCCGGCCGCCTTTGTCTCCCCAGTGCCGATGTTAATAAGCCACAGCAGTTACTCGTTTGAGGCTGAGTCGACCTAGGGGAGGTTCAAATAATCGTCACCGGTGGTGGCCGTGAGCGGGAATCGAACTGGGTTCGCCGGGTTGGTAGCGCAGCGTAGCGCTAAGCACTACACCCACCGCTCCTCACACACCACACACGCACAGACACACACACGCAGACACACGCAGACACACACAGACAGACACACACACAGACACCACGCTAACCACTACACTACCGCTCCCCACACACCACACACGCACACACACAGACACACACACAGACACACACACACACAGACACACACACAGACAGCACGCTAACCACTACACTACCGCTCCCCACACACCACACACGCACACACACAGACACACACAGACACAGACAGCACGCTAACCACTACACTACCGTTCCCCCTACACAACACACGCGCGCGCGTCCATAGGTACACATACACGCGCTTGCTGCAGACACACACATACACACACATACATACACGCAGACACACACATACACACAAACACACATACATACACACAAACACATACACAGTGACATGCCTATTCCCATCGCGGGGCACGGGACGTGCCTCCCGGCAAATCCCTCGCAAGCGATCGTACACAGATGGACAGACAACTGAACAGTACGACGTTTGGCTGGTAATTGCATCCAGCATCAGCGAAAGGACGTACTCTGAAATGGGAATTGTTGTGGTTTTACGCTTGTACACACCGGTGGGCCAAAGCAGAGACTTATGAGTGTTTTATCAACGGGACACTTTTTGACTGATTGGCCGTGTGGGGTGGTGGAGGGTTACAACACATTAATAATTAAGGCGAGCGAAAGGCAATAAAGTTATTTGTGAAGAATGGTTGCGAAAGCGTACGTGTTACAAAAAGACTCACTTTACTTAAGAAGCAGGCTAATGTGTACATGATAGACTGTCAGTGCAGCCACCCAGAAATATAACCAGGCTACACTGTACATTCTAGAGTGGCAGTACGCTCAGCCAGCTTAATGAGTATTTGTTGAGTGAACATTTAAACAAATCCATTATTGGCGCGTGTGGTTTAAACATAATTATACAGTAGTTTTATACAGTAGTTTTTTCATGAGAAATGGTAATTGTTGTGGTTTTCCGCTTGAACACACCGGTGGGCTAAAGCAGTCAAGTCTTAGTCTTTTATGAACGTGACAATTTTGTGCAGATTGGGCGTGTCGGGTGGTGGATAAGGGTGACAACACCTTAATAAATAAGGCGATCTAAACGCAATAACGTTGTTTATGAATAATGTTTGCGAAAGCGTACGTGTTACAAATTGACTAACTTTACTTCCTAACCAGGCTAATGTGTACATGATAGACTGGCAGTACACCCAGCCAGCTGAATAAGGAGGCAGCAGTCTACATAATAGACGGGCAGTACGCTAAAGCAGCTTAATGACTATTTGTACAAAGAACATTTAAAGAATCGATTATAATAACCAGGCTACAGTCTACATTATAGACTGCCAGTACACCCACTCAGCTTCATAAGCAGGCTAGAGTCTACATGATAGAGTGGCAGTACGCTCACAGAGCTTAATAAGCAGGCTACAGTGTACATAATAGACTGTCAGTACGCTCACCCAGCTTAATGAGTATTTGTACAGTGAACATTTAAGTAATCGATTGTTGGCGCGTTGGGTTTAAAAGTAATATTAATTGCACACATTGTGGTGGGGGTGTAGTGAAGAGTAGGAAAAACTTTGATGAATTTACCTCAGAGTGGCGTGGTGGGTGTCGAGGCCTAGTAGCGTGCAAAGCCTGCGGCCTCGCCTAAAATTGTCCACGTGGAAGAGGCAGGGTACGGGTGGCGTTCCTTCCCCCCCCCCTAGCGCGCCAACAACACTGTGTAATGGCTATTATTTAATTAATTAAGGAGCTTATGAAAGTGGCGAAGGCGTGGCTAGCGGTTGGCAGGGGCAACCGCCGTCCAATGAAACTGCAGCTCTTGGCGAAGGCGTCGCTAGCCGTTGCCAGGTCCAATGAAAGCGGCGAAGGCGTCGCTAGCCGTTGCCAGGGGCAACCGCCGTCCAATGAAAGTGCGTATGGTCCGGAGACACACAGACACACAGACAGACAGATAGACAGACAGATTCACGATTTTATATATATAGATGGCAGAGATTAGGGATTAATAAAGTACAACCATAACCACAATCGTATAAACAGAAATCTGTGCATTGATTTATATGAAGACAGTCGAGATATTGTGGCCAAGGTTTAGCAAATTGTTGTTTTTATTTACATAGCATAGCAATTATTTTTATGGCAATATATTTGGGGGGACATTTTGAGCATATTTGAATACTGGGGGGGGGGTGTGTGTCCCCCAGTATATATTATAATTACGGCCTTGCTGGGTGGTGGTGGTGGCGTTTTTAGTCGGCGTTGAAGATGATTGTCGCTGCCTCAAAGCGGAATGCACAAATAGCGAGGCTGCAGAAAGACAAAACGCAGAGAGACGCTCACGCACAGAGGGGAGCAGATGACAACGCCGCCACGGAAGATGTAAACACGGATGTGTGATTACAGGAAGCGTGTGAGAAGAGATGGACAAGCGGGCATCACGGCAACAAAGGCAGGCAGATAGGCAGAGCTTAGTATAGTGCACGGCAAGTTTGTGTATGTATGTTGAACTTCTTTTGCACCGTACGTATCCAACCGTGCTAATCGGAGGTGCGGGATGCACTGACACACAGGCATTAATAAACGCAGATAGACAACCAGAGGACAGGCAGACCAGCAGGCATATGCAGTGCGAAGTACACTCATGAAGTTGGACAGAGTTAAATGTTAGAAGAGACATCTGCACGACATAGCCAACGAGACGGAGAACCGAGTATGCACGTGTGTATTTAGAACTTCTTTCGCACCGTACGTGGCCCAGCGTGCTATTTGTAGCGTGATGGTGCTTAAACAAAAAGGAGAGGGGAGGCATGGATCAACTCAGAGGGGGGAGTGGGGGGCACGCCACAGTCAATGCTGAACAAACTCTAAAGACGTGATGAATGCCCGACATAATTAGCAGCGATCTGATATCGCTTCGTGCTCTCGCTGACAACCCCCTTTGTAAATGTGGCTGCCTCCGTGGCGAGATGTTAATTACCTCGCCTGGTATGCAGGAGGTCGTGGGTTCGATCCCGACCCTGACGCCTGCTGCTGCTGTATATTTGGAGTTTGTGTGTCGCTCTCTCTCCGTGGTTGCGTGACATTTTCTCCGGGTCCTCCCGTTTTGTTCCCCCTCCCCCACATTGAGGAACACGCGTTTAGAGTATTTGGCTGCTTTACATTTCTACGTGATAAGTCACTTCGTTGAGCTATCGTTTGTGGCCAGGTCGCTTCTGAAAAAGAGTGAGCCTTAGCTGGTCAAATAAAAAAATGTTCAGAATAGTTTAAAATATTGTACCGACATTTTGTTTAAGTTTGACCACGCGAATTTTTGGAAGAGGTGGGGGCAAGAGGGGGAGCCTCAGCCTACATCAGTGGGGGCTCAGATCCCCCCCCCTCTCCCGCCCACCCCCCAACACATCAGACATCTTCCCGTGTATACCGGTGAAGAGTTGTGATGCAAGCTAGAGGCGAGCAGCAGTCGGGATGACACGAGGGAGAGACAGAGCGAGCGAGAGGGAAAAAACCCAACAACCCCCACGCACATATCTTGACAGCTGCTTGTTGACATCAATAATTAATCAGCACAGTGAATAATGGGCAGGAGGAGGGAGGGGGGAGGCCGCTGGCGAAAAAAGGTCGGAGGGTGCCACTGACAGGTCTGCGTTGTCCTTGCACAGCGTTGCCCATGCCCACACGTCTGTTACGGAGCCCAGCGAACGCGTGCAGCCCCGAGCGGGAGACAACTTTGGGGGGGTTGGTGGACGTGGCTCTTGCCGGGAGGCGGTGGCAGTGTGTGTGTGTGTAGCTGAGTGGACCTGCCGATGACTGGTACCAGCGGTGTCAAGATCGGCCTCAGTGGAGGAGGCTCAATTTCGATTTAAAGCTTTCGTGACTGCAGGGATTCATCTTATTGGTTCTTTCGATAAAGTCACGTAGAATGGAAATAATAAAATAATAAAATAAAACATAATAAAATATTTCATTATGTTATTGGTTCTTTCGGTAAAGTCACGTAGAATGGAAATAATAAAATATAACATTATAAAATATTTTATTATGCTTTATTTTATTATTTTATTATGCTTTATTTTATTATTTCCATTCTACGTGACTTTACCGAAAGAACCAATAAGATGAATCCCTGCAATCACGAAAGCTTTAAAATAATAAAATAAAACATAATAAAATATTTTATGATATTTTATTTTATTATTTTATTATTTCCATTCCAAGATGGAGGAGGCTCGTGAAGGACGCTACTGGAGTTGGAGGCAGTCGCCCTCCAACAACAACGGAGGGCGGAGGAGCGACGCTCACAACAACGATTGGAGCGCAGGGTGGCTAAAGCACAGCAAGTTGGCACATTAGGGGGCACAGGTGGTGCATCAACCAGTCATCTCAGTCAGTCGACCTGTGGCACCTGGGTCTGCCCCGTGACCTCCTGCCGACGGGCGTTCGACACTTCACGTGGCCTCAAGGTGCACATGGCCTGGCACAAGCGTCGTGGTGACGTCACCGCCACTTAGTGGCGAATGGCGGTTGTTGTTGTTGTGTGTTGAACTTTTCTGTCGCACCGTACGTAGCCGGCCGTGCTCACAGGAGGAGTGGGGGAAGGACAACTAACTAAATATAACAACAATAATGATGCAGGGTTTTTTTTTAGTTAGATCGAATCTATATATATAAAATCGTTCATGTCTGTGTGTCTGTGTGTGTGTGTGTGGACTGCACTTTCATTGGACGGCGGTTGCCCCTGGCAACGGCTAGCCACGCCTTCGCCGCTTTCATTGGACGGCGGTTGCCCCTGGCAACGAGTAGCAACTTTTCTCCGCGGGGTGGACGCCATTTTTAATAGCGCGGGGGGGGGGGGGGGACCGGCACCCGTACCCAGCGTTCGCCGGGTGGGAAAATCAGGCAAGGCGGGAGGCTCTGCACGGTGCTAGGCCTCGACACCCAACACGCCACTCTGAGGTAAATTCATACAAATTTCACGTCCTCTACAGAGTGGCGAGGGAGGCAGAGTGGCGAGGGAGGCAGAGTGGCGAGGGAGGGACTCAGCCTCAAAACGAGTAACTGGTGTGGCGTATTAACATCGCCACTGGGGAGACAAAGGCGGCCGGGCGTGGTGGATACAAGTCCCGGGCAAAGCCGGGTCATGACTATGTGTGTATGTGTTTATGTGTATGTCTGTGTGTCTGTATGTATGTGTGTATGTATGTGTCTGTATGTGTTTGTGTGTATGTATGTGTGTGTCTGTATGTATGTGTGTGTGTATTGTGTAAGTGTTTTTGTGTATGTATGTGTGTGTTTGTATGTATGTGTATGTTTGTGTGTATGCATGTGTGTGTATGTGTTTGTGTGTATGTGCGGTTATGTATGTGTGTGTATGTGTGTGTCTGCAGCAAGCGCGTGTATGTGTACCTATGGACGCGCGCGCGTGTGTTGTGTAGGGAGAACGGTAGTGTAGTGCTTAGCGTACTGCCTGTGTCTATGTGTGTGTGTGTGTGTCTGTGTGTGTGTGTCTGTGTGTGTGTCTGTGTGTGTGTGTCTGTGTGTGTGTGTCTGTGTGTGTGTCTCTGTGTGTGTGTGTCTGTGTGTGTGTGTCTGTGTGTGTGCGTGCGTGGTGTGTAGGAGGAACGGTAGTGTAGTGCTTAGCGTGCTGTCTGTGTGTGTCTGTGTGTGTGTGTCTGTGTGTGTGTGTCTGTGTGTGTGTGTCTGTGTGTCTGTCTGTGTGTGTGTCTGTGTGTGTGCGTGTGTGGTGTGTGGGGAGCGGTAGTGTAGTGGTTAGCGTGCTGTCTGTGTGTCTGTGTGTGTGTGTCTGTCTGTGTGTGTGTTCTGTGTGTGTGTCTGCGTGTGTGGTGTGTGGGGAGCGGTAGTGTAGTGGTTAGCGTGCTGTCTTTGTGTCTGTCTGTGTCTGTCTGTGTGTTTCTGCGTGTGTCTGTGTGTGTGTGCGTCTGTGTGTGTGAGGAGCGGTGGGTGTAGTGGTTAACGCTACGCTGCGCTACCAACCCGGCGAACCGAGTTAGATTCCCGCTCATGGCCACCACCGATCAAGATTATTTGAACCTCACATAGGTCGACTCAGCCTCAAACGAGTAACTCGTGTGGCGTATTAACATCGCCACTGGGGAGACAAAGGCGGCCGGCCGTGGTGGATACAAGTCCCGGGCGAAGCCGGGTAGTACAGCTAGTAAATATATAAATGTGTCGTTAAAACCCGCCACCACCCGGCACACAGCCAACTAGTAAGGGTTGTCACGTAAACCGAACGTGGCCAATTCGTCACGAGTACAGCACACCGGTGTGTTGGAGAGCAAAGCCACGACATTCACAATCTGAGTACGACGTTTTGCCAGTAATTCATTCAGTAATTGCTGAATGAAAACATCTTCATATGTAGAGGACAACAGAGGGTTGGGCAACTCTTGGCACCGGCTCAGCCGAGCTGCCCCCCCCCCCCCCCCACCTGCTTGTCTGCGGTTCCTCCGCTCTGAGCCCTTCTCTCTGTTTCGACAGAGAGCGGACAACGTTGCTTTGAGCTATACGATGAAAATATCGTCGTCATCATTATTGTTACGATGCATTTTTGTGGTTGTTTGGCCCGATGCCCGACGTTCCGCTCCACGTTCTGGAAGCTTCTTCGGGAATTGGAGTCCATGCCGAGCAACACAGCTGAGTGCTCGACAGCTCCATTGTGAAAACCTCCACAGTGGTGGTGGTGGTGAGACTGCGGTTTAAAGACACGTGTCTGTGTGTGTGGACGGGGGGGGGTGCAGTAAGTGCAGTGGTTGGCGCACTGCGCTACGTAGCCAGCGACTCGAATTCGATTCTCAGTCACGGTCAACATCTGTGACGAATCTTAACCGGCCCCGGGACTCGCTTGGGTCGGCTCAGCCTTAAAAAGAGTGTGTAAAACATCATCACCGGGGCGAGACGATGGCATGCGCGCGTGGTGTTGACTCTACCACCGCTTCGTCTGCTCTTGCCGGCCTCATAATAGCTGCACCGCAAACAGCACTCGCCCCAACAGCCTGGCTTATGCTATTGGGAGGGGGGTCTTTGTCTTCGAATGGCAGCGCGCGTGTGTGTGTGAGTGAGAGAGAGAGGGGATAGAAGTCCCAACGAGTGGCGGTGAGAGGCGACTGCCACAACAGGGGGCTCTTCACCACGAGGTGGGTTTCGCTGGCTTCTCAAGAAATGTCCCCCACCCCCCGGTCCAAATAAACATCAACAGCAAAAAAATGCCCCGAGGCTCAAAGCACCAAACCGAAGGCAACCTGGCGAAACTAAAACCGATCAACAAACCCCACCAACACGGCATGCGATGCGCTTTGCAAGCAAAATAAAATATGAACACCTGTGCGTGTCGAGACACACCGAAGGCGTTTGCTGTTTGTTGATGTTCTCCAAAAAGGGGTGGCGTGGTAGAGGATCGAGAGGCGGGCCGAGTGGAGGAGGATGAAACGACAAAGGTGGCGTTGGTCGGCTGGAGATGGGAGCATGCTGGAGATGGGAGCATGCTGGAGATGGGAGCATGCTGGAGATGGGAGCATGCTGGAGATGGGAGCATGCTGGAGATGGGAGCATGCTGGAGATGGGAGCATGCTGGAGATGGGAGCATGCTGGAGATGGGAGCATGCTGGAGATGGGAGCATGCTGGAGATGGGAGCATGCTGGAGATGGGAGCATGCTGGAGATGGGAGCATGCTGGAGATGGGAGCATGCTGGAGATGGGAGCATGCTGGAGATGGGAGCATGCTGGAGATGGGAGCATGCTGGAGATGGGAGCATGCTGGAGATGGGAGCATGCTGGAGATGGGAGCATGCTGGAGATGGGAGCATGCTGCCGGGGCGCGTTCCGTGAACGCATCGGGCGCCAGCGGATGAGAAGAAGAGAACGATGCATCACTGTTCGATAAACCATGGGGGGGGGAGGGGGCATTCGGTGGGGAGAAAGGGAGGGGGTGAGTGAAGTTGGATGATGAGTGGTGGTGGTGGTGGTGATGACAACTTCTGAATGTCAGTCAGGATAGTCGGGAAACGCTTGTGGGGAATTACGTTGGCGATGCCACATCCGTCTCGCATTATTCTGTCCAAAATCTGCTTGTAGGATGATCGTAATACAGGGCACAATAACACACGACTAGTACACTGTCGCCCATTGCCCAACATGTCACCGAAACGTCGCAGATTTTGTTTTCATATTGATATAATATTATTTTAAGTCAGTGTTGTTGACGAATCTATTGAGTTTTGTTTAGTAAATCTTTTATTGTGCGTGTACACCACTGGCAACGAAGCGACTCCAAATAATCAGCATTAGTATGGATCGGCGTACGTTGTACCGCACGAGTAGCGCCTTGTGCCAATAATCTTTGCTCCAAAGCCAGCGCATAGCAGCGTTCCGGGAAGAGATTCGAGTGAGAAATTTAATCTTGGTCATAGCCCGTGTGGGGGAGGGGGGTTACGCAAGACATTCTTTTTTTGGGGGGGGTGGGGAGGTGGCCCCCCTTTTAGTGTATCAACTCCGAGGGGGACGACGGGACAGGTCGAGAGGCAGTGCGGTGACAGGATGCGGACTAAAGGCAGCGGTTTCATGCGGTGGTTCTTGAGCTCTAATGCAGAGTCCGTGCCCCTTTAGTGCTCAATCGAAAAAAAAGTGTTTACAATGTTTATAAATACTTAGAGGGTTTTATGAAACAAAGAAGTTGTGTACTCATTGGTTATTTCGGTAGAGTCACGTATGTAGAAATGAAATAAAATTAAAATAGATCACGACGTTTCGAACGCAACACAAGCGCTCGTCCTCAGGTGAAAATGGCGTAAACCACACAGCGACCGAACACACAGAGGGACATCGCACACAGAGCACACAGAGGGACATCGCACACAGAGCACACAGAGGGACATCACACACAGAGGCACATCACACACAGAGCACACAGAGAGACATCACACACAGAGCACACAGAGGGACATGATACACAGAACACACAGAGGGACATCGCACACAGAGCACACAGAGGGACATGATACACAGAACACACAGAGTGACATCGCACACAGAGCACACCGAGGGACATGATACACAGAACACACAGAGGGACATCGCACAGAGAGCACACAGAGGGACATCGCACACAGAGCACACAGAGGGACATCACACACAGAGGCACATCACACACAGAGCACACAGAGAGACATCACACACAGAGCACACAGAGGGACATGATACACAGAACACACAGAGGGACATCGCACACAGAGCACACAGAGGGACATGATACACAGAACACACAGAGGGACATCGCACACAGAGCACACCGAGGGACATGATACACAGAACACACAGAGAGACATCACACACAGAGCACACAGAGGGACATGATACACAGAACACACAGAGGGACATCGCACAGAGAGCACACCGAGGGACATCACACAGAGAGCACACAGAGGGACATCACACACAGAGCACACAGAGGGACATCACACACAGAGCACACAGAGAGACATCACACACAGAGCACACAGAGGGACATCACACACAGAGCACACAGATGGACATCACACACAGAGCACACAGAGGGACATCACACAGAGAGCACACATAGGGACATCACACAGAGGGACATCACACAGAGAGCACACAGAGAGACATCACACACAGAGCACACAGAGAGACATCACACACAGAGCACACAGAGGGACATCACACACAGCACACAGAGAGACATCACACACAGAGCACACAGAGAGACATCACACAGAGAGACATCACACACAGAGCACACAGAGGGACATCACACAGAGAGACATCACACAGAGAGCACACAGAGAGACATCACACACAGAGCACACAGAGAGACATCACACACAGAGCACACAGAGAGACATCACACAGAGAGACATCACACACACAGAGCACACAGAGAGACATCACACACAGAGCACACAGAGAGACATCACACAGAGAGACATCACACACAGAGCACACAGAGAGACATCACACAGAGAGACATCACACACAGAGCACACAGAGGGACATCACACAGACAGACATCATACACAGAGCACACAGAGAGACATCACACACAGAGCACACAGAGAGACATCACACAGAGAGACATCACACAGAGAGCACACAGAGAGACATCACACACAGAGCACACAGAGAGACATCACACACAGAGCACACAGAGAGACATCACACAGAGAGACATCACACACAGAGCACACAGAGAGACATCACACACAGAGCACACAGAGAGACATCACACAGAGAGACATCACACACAGAGCACACAGAGAGACATCACACAGAGAGACATCACACACAGAGCACACAGAGGGACATCACACAGACAGACATCATACACAGAGCACACAGAGAGACATCACACACAGAGCACACAGAGGGACATCACACAGAGAGACATCACACAAAGAGCACACAGAGGGACATCACACACAGATCACACCGAGAACGGCAAACTGCACAGAGGCAGATACAGATGGGAGACGCGAACTCAGCAAAGCTTAGGAATATAATGCGATGCAAACCAGTCGACCAACAACACAGTTAGACACTAACCTGGTTGACCACGTGTTTCAAAAGACTGCTAAATCTTGTGTTCATCTTCCAGGTTGAACACACCAACGTAAACAGAGGAAATTGACTCGTGAACAGACACGAGGTACAAGGTAGCAGAGATACACAGAGAAGACAACGTAGTTGTGCCCGTGCTTAATTTGTGTTTCGATGATTTTACCTTCTAAAAAAATCTGCCCACGTCTCGCACACACCCCAGAGAGGGCATCTCGCACCACGAGGGCGTGGGTGCACCCAGGTGAAGAACCACACCGGTGTAATGAGATTAAAGAAACGGACAAATTCGACAGAGAAGTAGCGAAACTTAGGGAATATATAAACAAGAGACAGATGTTGTGAAATAGAGATGCAGACACGACAGAGGTGACAGTGATCACTTCACTTTTTCATTTGTTTTTGACGTTAATTCAGACACTCTCTAGTTCTTTCGGTAAAGTCACGTAGGTATAAAATAAAATTAATTAAATCACGACGTTTGTTTTTTTTCCCCACTTCAGCAATTGTTTCTTGCTGTGGTTGTCCCCACCTGATGACGGACGCTTGTGTTGCGCCTGAAACGTCGTGATTCCATTTATTTTATACCTACGTGACTTTACCGAAAGAACCAAAGAGTATATGGATCCCTGCAGTCACGAAAACTTCAAATCTAGATTGTTTATTCGGATCTTAATTCGAGCTGCTATTTGGTGCATCCCTATTTGTTGTTGTTCTTCATGAATCCTGGGCCCTTTCGTCCACTTGGATCCACATATGCGTTTTACTTTAGTTCGCGCCACTGTGTAGAAAGGAGGGGCAGTGGTTGACGTAAGAGCGAAGACGGAGTGGTTATTGCCCCGAGCAGTGACGAGACCTGAGGTGGCAGGCTGGTTGGCTGAGTCTCTGTCGTGGGTGTCCGATTAGCGCGGTTGGCTACGTACGGTGCGAAAGAAGTTCAACATACAACACGCATCCATAATAGAGGTTGTTGGGTTAGTTGCGTGAAGATGTGTCGTTAAACCCGCAACCACCCGACACAGCCAATTAGTTAGGTTTGTAAATGTGGGTTTACTCTCCAACACACCGATGTGCTCTACGAGGAAGCACCTGGCGTGTTTTGTTTACGTGATAAACCTTAATAATTGTCTGTGTCGGGTGGTGGCGGGTTTAACGACACATTTTCACGCGATCTAACCCAAAAACTTCAATAATGGATATTATTGGTCGCCAAAGCCGACGTGTTAAACATACAACATACATGTGTGTCTGTTTTTTAAAGGGGTAAGAACTGGCTCAAGGCTGTCAAGAGCAATGAAGTGTTAGGAATGGCCTGTGGAAGATTATACTCCAGAACTACTACTGAGATTCCTCCGTGGCTATTTGAAACGTATTTTCCAAATCACATTACAATTGTATTCGTGGCGCTGTGATGTGAGACAGATTTACGTTCGGAATCTCTCAAAAGAGAGCGGTGTTAAGAATGGCCTGTGGAAGATGGCATTGCAGATCTACTTCTGAGATTCCTTCATTCCGCACCCCATTCACACGAAGGGCTGTCAACAACAACCATACACCGCTCCAGGTGTTTGAGAACGGAGACGCTCTCTTGTCCCCTTGCCAACTGCTTTGCAATTGTGGGAATCAATGTCTCGTCGACGAGACACAAGAGGGATCTCCATTCAGAGCTCGCGTAGAGAGCCGTGCAAAGAGACCGAACGTCCAGACAGCGAAGATGACATCACGCACGCAGTTCTGAGACCGTCACCGATTGATCGCATAATTTTCCAAAACTTGCGAGACCCCCCCCCCCCCCCGCCACGGATGCGTTGATCGGTTTGCAAAGCGTCCCGAGTGGAGGAACGTTGCAAACGCTGATGGAGGGTTTAAGCAACAATTAAACAAAAGCAAAATATGATTTGAAGCTTTCGGTGAAGTCACGTAGTTAGTTCTAAAACATGCTATCGCACGATCATCGGGTGAGCGGTCCGACACCTCGAAGTTTAGAATGCAAAATCGCTATCGGAAGGCACGGACGCTGAGGCGTTGTATCAAGCCGCTGAATGAAAGTGAGTGGGGGCTTGGTTCCGGACTGCAGTTGACAACTCTCCCGGATTTGGCCGGGAGCCTCTGCCGGTAATTGGCATCGATCTCGCCGGGGGTAACAAATAGAGAAATATCTTGCGGGAATTTACCTTCGAGTCAGAGTTGGCAACCGCAGGCCGGAACGTGGCCAATGGACGAGGCCGGTGCCGAATGGCGTCCTAAGGGGCCGTCCATAAATGACGTCACGCGATTTTGGATGATTTTGGACTCCCCCCCCCCCCCTCGTCACACGGCGTCACAAAAAGTCAGACCCCTCAAATATGATATCACAAAGCTCTGCCCCCCCCCCATCCCAAAAAAATATAACATGCTTCAAATCGCTTTAAACTATTGTCATTGTAGTGCGTATTTAATGTGGCGCTGCACTCTGATGTTGTAGGAGAAAACATTTATTCGAAAGACTATTTAATTAAGTAGAACGTGTTGTCTATATTAATTTAAAGTTGCGCATTTTGATGTTGTGACGTCACATTTCTCACCCCCCTCCCCTCGTCACACATCGTCACAAATGTCTGACACCCCTCCCCTCCTAGGTGCGTGACGTCATTTATGGACGGCCCCTAAGGGAGGCAGAGGGACGTCGGCCACGGGGATGGAGCAATGGGATCAGGTGAGGTGCAGTGGGTATAGCACGGCTGGTAACGACGAGTGTGCGGACCAGCCGGCTCGTCGGTAGCGGCCTCGCAATGGGAAGGTTGCGAGTTTTAAATCCCGATTGAGGGTTGACTCAGCCCATCATCTCTACGGGGGGGGGGTGGGTGATAAAATGAATACCACCTTGCATGGAAGCCAATAGTGGTTGCCCTATGGATAATCTCATCCCTGCCAAAGGAACGTGGCATTTCCACCACTGGTTTAAACCTTACATGATCATGAAATCATTGTGACGATGATGATGATGATTTGTGAATAAAGAAGAAGATGGCTGGATTGCGGTGCAAGACTGGAGCGCTATGGACGCCTGGCACCTCCGATGACCACGGTTGGCTACGGAGTGTACGAAAGAAGTTCAACGTACGTACGTGCACGGTCACGGAGAGAGAGCGCGCGAGAGAGCGAGCGAGCGAGCGAGCGAGAGGTGGGGGTTTACATAAAGCAAAGTTATTATTTTAAAAAAAAATTACGAAATGATGAACGAAGCAAAGTGCCGACTACACCGAGCATCGTCTTGTTTCCACTGATCGTAAAAAAAGAGAGAGATAGGGAAAGGAGGGAGGCAGAGGCGGTGCTGACGACTGAGCAAAAAGGGACCCGCATCTCCGGATCCGTCTGCAAATCGGGAGTCTGGGGCAACGCAGCTTTCCTCCTCGTGTCGCCATGGCAACAGCTATCGGAGGGATTGATGGGAGTCCAGCTAACGAAGAATGCACCCCGGCTAAACTGGCCAGCTGTACACACAATTCCAAAGCCTCTCATTAAATATTTTATCGGTCATATTTTTTTACCTTCTGTCAGTATTTGTTTAAGTGGAGGAGGTTTTTTTTTGTATTTTGGTTTATTTTTTTGCGAATGCGCTGTTAGCGGGGGGTGGAGGTGTGGTTGTACAGAAACGTGGAGGTTAAATGTTCGATTTGGAAGATTTAATTTTCATTCGTGCCGAGGTATTGTGCCGCCTCGTATCATGGGAAGGTCTTTATTATCTCATTCTTTTAAGCTCCTTGGTCACTCCACTGCTGGATGAGGGCCTCCCCATGTCGCGTGCGGCAAATACGCGAATTGATTTAAACACCAACGTCAACAATTGCCCGTTGATTACTGATTTCCATGGTGAACACATGCATATTTTTGTTACGATCAACAGCTTAGCCATCGCCATCCTCATTAAAATGCCTCTTGACCCATAACGAGCGTGTGGCTACGACCGCTCCCATTCGGGGGGTCCAAAGCGAGAGGCGAAAATTCTACGTTGACGTGGAAATTCACGTCAACGCAGACCGCGGGCAGGTTTCGGAGCATCACAAATTTCGATGTGATCCTCCAAGCAGTGCCTACATAGCGACGGCTCACACTGACGTGCCCCATCACGAGCACCAAAGACAAATATCCCCCGTATAGCCTGTAACAGACTGGTGGGGCAAGTGCTGTTAGCGAGCACCTATGAAGGCCGGCACGGCACACGAGAGGGAGGGTGGAGAGCGCCACGCCCGACCGCCTTTGTCTCCCCAGTGGCGATGTTTACACACTGCACCAGGTACTCATGTGAGGCCGAGTAGACCTAGGGGAGGCCCAGGAGCGATTAAGATAATCGTCACCGGCGTTGACCGCGAGCGGGAATCGGACTCGGGCCGCCGGGTTCGTAGCGCAGCGTAGCGCTAACAGCGGCGCCACCGTTCCCCACCACGCCTCTGAGCTACATTGGAGCAGCAACAGAGGCAAAACAGAAACAGCCGCTGGGTCTGACGAGGCTAAAACACCCCGGAGAGCTCGGATAAGAAACAAAGAGTTCATTGATCGACATTAGGAGACGTTCCAGCAAGGCGTGCGTTGAAGTCTGACCTGATGGAGCCGTGAGCTGGGCTCAGCGGCTTGGGTCCGCAGTGGGGAAAGTGGCTCCAACTCCGTGCCCGAGGCTACATTGATTGGCACATGTTGATAACCGTGGCTGGAAAGTCAAACGAGACGTATGTTTTACATGTACACGCAAGCGTGTAGTCATGGAGGAAGGACAGCACTGCGATTTCTTGAGCACAGTCCATATATACTTTAAAAAACAAATCTACAACGCCTCCTCAATGTTGCACGGAAGGCGGTTACAGTACCTCGGGATTGGCAAACTGGGGTCTTGGTTCCCATTAAAAAAAATGGGGGGACCAGAGGTTGTGCTCCAACTACAGGGGAATCACACACACCTCAGCGTTCCAGGTAAAGCGTATGCCAGAGTGCTGGAGAGGAGGCGAGGCCCGATGGTGCAGCCACGGAAACATGAGCAACAATGTGGATTCAGTCACGGTCGTGGAACAATGGATGAGCTCATGATAGATTTGAAGTTTTCGTGACTGCAAGGATCCATACGCTTTGGTTCTTTCGGTAAAGTCACGTAGGTGAAGAAAAATGAAATAAAAATGTAAAAATAAGAATAAAATAAAAACATAATTAAAACATTTTTATAAAAAAATCACGTTTCGGTTGCAATACAAGCAATTTTGATTATTATTCTTAGTTTTATATATTTTTTTATTTTTTCACCTACGTGACTTTACCGAAAGAACCAAAGAGAATGGATGAGCTCTTTTCACTCTCACAGATATTTGAGGGGTCATGGGAGCGTGCTGCTCCCTCAATAACACCGCGACCTTAAAAGGAAAAATAGATAATAGGCGGCATTTATGGCAATGACCCTTCTTTATAGGGCGTACACACACACAGAGACCAGAGAGACGGGCAGGATGAGTTGAAGACTGCACTCTGCACCATGGGGCCTATGAGCATTGTATTTGTTTCGACATATGAACAATTACAAAATAGAACATGCGTATGGCTGTAACTTTTAATTATTTCTTTGTTAAGTCGCGTGACAGCCCAATATGTATAGTTCCCTTCTCGACAGAGGTGTAGCCAAGGATGTCTATCGGCTGTGACAAGGACTCTAACTCCGGTGGGCAGGTCTTCGTCGCTCGCCATCACAATGTCTAGCATATGACATCTACACATTTACTGGTTCTTGCACATGCAGTACAATGTATTTATTGTGAGATGAACAACAATGTTCAACTTTTAGTTTCAATCCACTGCTGTGACAGTCCTGGGGGTTGTTTCACCATACTTCACCATGCTGGTCAGTGTGGGTTGGTGAACTTGGGGTGATGGGGAGGGAGAGTCAGGACCGGAGCAGATATCATTCGCCGCTGAAGTTAGCCATAGCCGGGAATCGAACTGAGGTCGTGGTAGTGCATTAAACACTGCGCCACTGCCCCATCCCCTGAGCTTGGAGAATCGATACTAATCGATTAATCTTTCCATCGTTACACCTCTTATCATCATCATCATCACAGAATTTTCAACGAGTCACCGCAACTGCAACATACACACGAGTACGTTAATGCAAAAAAAACCGCTGCTGTCAATCAAAAGGAGCTGGGTTTAGCCGAGCGGGAGTGAATCTCCGTTGTGTAGACTTCGGTTTGTAATGGAGACTGCCGAGAAAAGCTATTGCTTTGAATATATATGTATGCGATTGACCAAGCATATTGCATACCTCCCCACGGACCAGACATGCAAGGAAATCATGTCAGGCGCTGCGCGGGAAAATAAAATAAAGCATCACGCGACTTGACTGGCAGAGCGTTAGTCAAGGCCGATCTGTACAAAAGCAAGCGGAGATTTAAAAATATACAGTCGGCCCAATTTTCAATATTAACTCACATTTACTGCCCCATTCCAAAGTTATTATTTGCAAAAAAAATTGTATTTTCGCAATCATTTATCTTGCCCACTGGGAAGTGGGGTAGGGGGGGGGGAAACCCCCCCGTACAAAACAAATGGGGTTTAGGGTAATAATGTTGCAGTGTTTGATAAACACGCCGCTCCAGAACAGATTAGGATATAGTGTTTCATTTTAAGACATGCGCGGTTTCGGCACACCGGGGCCCTGCAGATAAGCGCAGCGCGTCGTCTGCAGGGGGCTGACGGTCGACGCTCACCCCCGTTTTTGTTGTTGTTGTTGTTGTGGTCGTCGTTGTGGCCAATTAGCCACGTCGGATGGAAGGCAATTGCCGTCAGCCCGGGCTTCGAGATGCCCAGATTTCCACGGCGGTATCAGGCGAATATATCGGAGGCGGACACGCACGCGCGCGCTGGCGAGATCAGATTTCTCGAAACACCCTCGGCGGGCCAGCGCAAGCGACGTCGCGATTCCTCGAGACCGTTTGGCGTAGAGCTTGGCGGCCGCAATAACGCCCACCCCGGGCCTGCGAAACAAAAGAGAGATGGAGCGTCGCCGCCCTTTCAAATTGCCTTCGCCCCAAAGCTGTCGCTACGGCGGTCGCGTCACGAGACCGAGAAATTCACAGTTGGGAACAGGTCGCAGCGAAGCGGCTCGCGGAATATGACATCGCAGAACTAATTCTGAGATTCCTTCGTTTGTCAACAACAGCGACGACGAACACCGCTCCAATGTTTGGGAACATAAAGGCTTGCTTGTTCCTTTTCCCAAACGCATTGCAATTGTGCAACCACTGTCACGCCACGAGACGGTGTGTGATCACGTGCAATGGACCGGTCCGTGGAAGGTGACACCGCAGAACTACTTCTGAGATGTCTTCTATTGCCTCTCGTTCGCACTGAGTGGCTCTGCAATTTCTCACATGCCCTGCTGCGGAGGAGTTCGTGGCATGGCAATCGAGGCGATATTATGTTAGTCCTCACAGCTGAAATGAACCTATTTTAAGTGAAAAGCCAAATGTCATCTATTCTGTGTGTGTGTGTCACCATTATCATTTATTATTTATATCGCACCACCCATGCAGTGCATCTCAACGCGCCAGGACAAAAGTGGTGACTTGAGATCTATCACATACCCAGTAAGGAAGCGATCGCAGACCAAATACAAAACATTCGAAAACCCAATAAACCAAATTGATAAGTTAAACTGTGCTTGAGACTATTGTCTGTGTGTGTGCATTGATTGTGGGCAGAGGTAGTGTATCTATTAGCGCGCAGTGCTACGAACCCGGCGACTCGAGTTCGATTATCTGAACCGGTTCTGCGCCTCTTCCCCTAGGTCGACTCAGCCTCAAATGAGTACCTGGTGCAGCTTGTGAAAAAACATCGCCACTCGGGAGACAAAGGCATGGTGCTGGCCACCCACCCCTCGTGTGCCGTGCCGGCCTTCATAGGTGCTCGCTAACAGCACTTGCACCCAAGCAAGTCTGCGAAGACTATACGGGGGATCTTTGTCTTTGTTACGTGCATTCCTCGGTCATCATTCTCAGGTGAACACCAACAACAAATACAATTTTCACACAGCGCCATACACAACCGCAATATTTCAGGTCACACCGAAGTCTGACAACAGCCATGCCAGACCGTGGACTCACACAGCAACCGCGACTCACGTCTCGGGTTCGAATCAAGTTACATTTGTCTGTTTTATTATTATTATCGCTGAGTCTCACAGACCTTTTTCAGGATGGTCTTGCCCAGTGTTTGCTGCTCTCTGTTCCTCCTCCTCCTCCTTGTGTTCAATCCACGCTGTCGCTCCCTCTCTCTCTCTCTCTTCTCGCCCCCCTTCATTGGAACAAACTTCCCCCTCCACATCAAGCGGTCACCCTCGCTCACAAAGTTCCCGCTCCTCACTCAAACTCACTTCTTGTTCCGCAGCTCACCTAACGACCCCCCCCCCCCCCTTAATCTCCCCATCACAAGCGTCACCGTTACTGTTCCCCCTTCATATTCGCATCAAGTTCAAGTTAATTTATTATATCATATGGCTTTCACTCATTAACCCCCATTCATTCAATCCGTCCATCATCATTTACCGTCATCCAATTCGGCTTTCACCGAAATCAGGCACCATCGCAGATTCGCCACCCATCGCTTCCTTCTCGTCGATTTCATTCACCTCGTCTCCACCACCGCATGCATACGTTGCACCGTTGTTAAATCTTTGGTCGAGGCGCTGTATTAAATCCGTGAGGGTACGATCTCGATAGAACGCGACGACCGCCTTGCACGTTCCAAACGGGTCATTTGGACGGCGTCACGGGATGACCTTTAACCTGCCCACAGTGAAGTGGATGGCAGGCGCGTCCTCTTGCGTTTTCACCGCAACCCGCGGCCTTTAGCCAGGGGCAAGTCCGCTGGGCTCAACCCGGGAGCCGCTGCAACAAGCGGACAACTTGCTGCGGCTAAGCCACGGCACCCACACAATGTGCGAACCGGATTTGTTAATCCACTGCTGGATGAGGGCCTCCCCATGCCGTCTGGGTAGCCACCGATACATGAAACAGTAATGCTATACATCTTGACTTAACGCTTTCGTGACTGCAGGAATACATATTCTATGGGTCTTTCGGTAAAGCCACGTGGATAGAAAAATCATGACAAACATCACGACGTTTCGATCGCAACGCAAGCAAGCGTCATCAGGTGAGAGACGTGATATTTGTGTTGTTTTTCTATCTACGTGGCTTTACCGAAAGACCCATAGAATAAACAGTAATAATATCAGCAATGCAACCGACTAATATGAATGCACTGCCAGTTTAGAATATTATTTGGCATTTCACCAGTAAAATGCAATTCGATGTCTCCTGCATTGTGTATTCATGCCCTCATCATGGACGTGGAGTTGTTGTTTTTCCATGCACAACATTTTTTTTGCAGTTAATTGGCCAATCATCCCGACGCAGGACCCTCCCGAATGGGAGCATTTTTTGAGACTCGGCGAGACTTTCCTGGATCAATCAAATGAAAGAGATCACGGGCGTTGCATTCTGCACTGAATTCACCCCCGCGGAGAAGCTCCCCGGCACGCGCAGAGAAACGTCGGCAACACCCGGAGCGGCCCGCACGACGAGCGGTGCAAACCAAAAACAAATCCACACGTGGGAGTCGATTCACATCGCGTTGGGGCCGGGGGGGAGGGGGTTACTTCCCCCCGTTTACAACCAGAAATTTGAAATCACAAAGCAATCGGGGGGGAAGGGGTGATAACAGAAGTGACAGTATGCCTATCGGCATCTGAAATACACTGAGCAATGCGTGGCGTCTCACGCAGACCGAAGTAAATCAATCCCCCACCCTCCACCATTTCAAGCAGCGTGGTAACTCGGGAACACCAGTGTTTAGCACGGTTAGTTACGTACGGTGCAAAAGAAGTTCAACATAAACACACGCCCATAGTCACTCACATAGTCACCCACTCACCCACCCACACACTCACCCACCCTCCAATTAGCACGGTTGGCTACGTGCGGTGCAAAAGAAGTTCAACATAAACACACACGCCCATAGTCACTCACCCACTCACATAGTCACCCACTCACATAGTCACTCACCCACTCACGTAGTCACCCATTCACCCACCCACACACTCACCCACCCTCCAATTAGCACGGTTGGCTACGTACGGTGCAAAAGAAGTTCAACACACATGCAACTCCGCGTGCGCAACACGCAATACGTGCCGGACGGCGCTCGGCTGGACGAGGACGCGGAGTTCAAAAGTTCTCAAATAAATCAGTTGAAAGCGCAGCGTCGTGCTCAACCACGCTCCTGGCGATAATTACGCCAAACATCTCGAGAATATATTTTTTTCTCCCGGCAATTCCCGTGGCAGGAATCCGCCCCCTCCCCCCAGTTCGGCGCGGAACCGGACGGCAACGCGCCACGACGCCACAAAAAAATCACAAAAAAACACACAAGGGCCGCGCCTCGACCGCACTCGTGTGTTTTACTCCAACATCTATTGCCCACGTATGAATATACTGTCTAAAAGTATATTACATTTTGAGCGAGCCCAGGCCCGAAGTGAAATCCGCCCGCGTCACGCTCGCGGACGGGACACATTCTCGGGGAGCATCAACAGCGGCAAAACGCTCAGTGACGCAGCTCGCATGGAGAATGGTCAATTAACAGCGCCCATGAAATAATTGCCCAATCGATGGCTCGGCGCATTTCCAGGAGCGAACTGGGGGGGGGGGGAGTGTGGTGAAATGTCACTTCATTATTAAGTGGCGCGTGTATGACTTACCGTTCTTCAGGTTCGTTTTCTTTCTCTTTGACTGACTTTACACGCGTGAAGATTTTTATTTAAAGCTATCGTGACTGCAGGGATTCATATTCTTGGTTCACACCTGATGATGATTGCTTGTGTTGCAGTCGAAACGTCGTGAGAATTTTTTTTGTTTTATATTTATATTATTATTTTATTTCCCTTCTACGTGACTTTACCGAAAGAACCAAGAATACGCGTGAAGATCTTAAATATGTGTGGGCACGAGAATCAAATTCTCGTACTGCCGGCATCTCCGAAAGCCTCACGGAGCCGTCTTCGCGCATTCTTCAGAAGCTGGCCAAGCGACACGAAGATCGTGAGGCAGTGCCCCCCCCCCCCCCCCCCTCGGGTCGCGCCGCTCTGCGTTCGGCACGGAATTCCGTCCCCGGAGAAGTTCCTGGAACGTGCAATGAAACGTCGGACATCGTGCCGAACATCACGTGGCGCACGCGGAAGGCGCTCCATCAGAGGACTACGCAACACGATTTTTGTTGTCAGGACAATAGTTTAATTTTGAATGCGAAATTGGTCCGATGCTGAAAGGTACTGTGGGGGAAATATAATGGCTGCCTCTGGCATGCATAACCAAGAGGTTTGCTTTGGCTGACATGGCTTGTAACAGCAAATATCAAGTCCTGGAAACAATATTCTGCCATCCGAGCTGCACAGGTTCAGCTGGGGAGATGTCAACTACCTCAACTACCTCGCCTGGTAGACAGGGGGTCGTGGGCTCGATCCCGACCCCTGACGCCTGCTGCTGTATATTTTGAGTTTTTTTTATGTCTCTCTCTTTCTCCCCGTGGTCGTGTGAAGTTTTATTCGGCTCTTCCGGTTTTTCCCTCCACATTTAGAATCAACATCATACGTTATGGTGTATTTGGCTGCTAAACATTTCCACACAATGAGAAGCCACTTCTTTGAGCTGTCATTTGTGATGACCAGGTCGCTTCTGAAAAAAGAGCTACACAGCTCAGTGGGGCCTTACCTGGTAAAACAAATATAGAGTTTATCAAATTAACCTTTTAATAACCAAGCGGCTGCGCGGTTTGCAGAGGTTCACGGCTCGAGACCAGTGGCCGCCTCGGTTAATCCTACGAATGTACATCCCAAAAAAATATATACACAATCACCATCTGCTTCGGAGTGGATGTTAAATATCCCATTGGGTTTATTCGAAAAAGAAGAGGCCGCCATATGTGCCGACGTCATGCTCCAAATTTTCTAAGTATGAAAAATTACCCCACGAAAAGCTTCCTCTGTTGGACAAAACCACGCTGGACCCAGTTTCCTCCTTTTGGCAAATCACATCCACCTCTGAAGTACTTCGCGACGAGCTCCTTCGCGAAAACCGTGCGCTGTGACAATGGCAACGCAATTCCACCTGCAAACGCGCGCGCATCTCCTTCATTAATGAACAATTAAAGGCAAACCACGGCAGAGCGATTGTGGCCATATAACCGCAAACTGCGGACGATACTGTAAACCACAGAAGGCTGCGCTTGCCTCAAACGGGGGAGGTAACAGCACAACCGCACCGGACTCTCTCCGGAGACACTCTCGCGGCGGGCAGACCTCGACATTGGCATTTGCCTCCTGAAAATATTGGCAACGCGCAAGACGAATGCGGCACACAAATGAACATTTAATGACGGCCGCCCCTCACTGAATTGGCCCGCGCGATGATGCACCCGTTGGCAGTGGAGGCGCATCCACGGGACTTCTTTTGGGAAAGACAAAGGGGGCGACGCGCCGTAATCCAATAGCAGCGCTTTTGTCTGTGGAAATAACAGGGTTAAAAGGTTGAGGCTAAATTACCATGGGCTTGTATCAGACGCGACTGACAGCAAATTGGATTCCTCATACGATTCGGGGGGCCCACGGGCGATGCTAAATGAACGCCGCGAAAATCAAATAACATCTCGCATCGTCCGCGCTGTTAAATATTTTAACGGCGGCGGGTAATTGGGTTGGTCGGAGTCGGAGGCGCCCTGGAAAAGGGCCGCACGGCCGCTCCCTCGCGAGGTCCTCCAGCAAAGAGACGATGGCAGCTGGGATGAGAGAGGGCATCAGGCATCAGGTAAAAGAAAACGATGAACGCACGCCACATGGGTGGGGGGGGGGTTATGCGCCCCCCCCCCCCCCCCCGTGTGTTGGATTATCCGGCACGGGTGGCCCCAGCAATCGGAAGGTTGCGAGGTCAAAGCCTGATTGGGGGGAGGCGGGGTGGGGGTTTAACTCAGACCATCATAAAAAAAAGAGTACCGCTGTGGGGGGAAGTCAACGTCGGTTGCCGTTTTGAGAGTCTCTCTCCTGCCATAGCAATGTGGGACTTCCACCGCTGCCTCGGGACTGTGACGAGCAACCCCTTCGATGCTTATCGGAGTTGGAAATCACTTTGTTGGATTTCTTTTTAATTGTTCTTGTTGTTGTTGCGGTTAGCACTTTTCACTTACAATCCGGAGGTCGCCCGATTTAATTCCGTCTCCCGGAGTGGCGGTTGAAACAACGGTGCCATACTCTTTGGTTATTTCGGTAAAGTCACGTAAGCCACGTAAGTGACTTTACCGTGCCAGTTTCTACGACCTCGCCGCCAGTGTCCACCCAACAGGTGCGAGCATGGCTCCACGACAGGTCGTTGACCAGGGTTTTGGCAGGTTGCGGCGCGATTTCTGAGAAAGGTGCCGGTTGCCCCAGCACACCCAAGATGCCTGGCCAGCAAGGAGGAGTAGGCCAAAACGCCCTCGAGTGCTCCCCCTCGTGGAGGCCCTTCGGCCAGCGGTGTCGCGCGCGAGGCCATTGCAGGGCGGCGCCTCGACCACTCTTCTTGTTTTTTTGACGCAACATCGATTGAATGAATGTACTGTCTACGAACAAAGTGCGCTTGCCTCTTCATAGCCTCCAAACCCCAACACACATTTCTGCCCATCCCACGTTTTGTTCATTTTATTCCACGAATTGAATTTCGGTTTTTTTTTGCCAGCTGAGATTTCATACGGTGTGTGGTCTGGTGGTCTGCAGACGCCACGCTTGAGGTCTGTCTGCTGGGGAATCTGCCTCGCATTTGTGACGCGGCGCCCCTCGAGCTCACGTGCAGCCCATTAACCAATCCGCTGCTGGATGAAGGCCTCCCTACCCACTTCCACCCTGTGCCATAAGAGCCGTGGCGTGGGAGGTAATTTCACCATACTTCACCGCGCTGGTCTGCGTGAGTCGGCGAGAGCAAGTGGCATGGGCGTGCAACAATAGACGTTGCTTTCGCTGCCCCTCTGCTGCCCACCACACAGCCACGCAGACGCTATGACGCCCTGTTCGTGTGAGCGGTGGTCACCAGGGCCTAATGTCAAATGTCACCCGGAGCTGTTCAGGACTGAGCTCTGGAACAAAATATCCTGGCTTGGGGGGGGCGGGGGGGGTAAATCCAGGAGGTTGTGAGTAATGCTGTGTGGCTATGTTGACGAGGAGCCGAATTTGAGATATTTGTTTGGTGCGTCGTTATTCTTCCGTGCAGTTGAGGCCCCTGGAGTTGCTTGGGTCCACAGGAGACGTTGCTTCGTTTAGTTTGTTTGTGCCTGGCAACAACACGGGCAGCTTACATTACTGAGCAGCTTGATAACAGTTTAACAACAGCAGAAAACTATTAAGAGCACAGGTTGGAAAGATTCGGAATTGGACAAATGCGTTGTTTATTTTAAATCGCATTTTCTCTTTATTCCCTATACGTATGCCTCTGTCTTTCCAGAGGCTATGAGGGGGTCGATGGTGGAGGGGGGGAGGGTAGAGTTATGGAAGGAAGCAGAGAGGGAATGGTGGAGGGGCTTAGTGAGAGATGGGGGCAGGATAGGAGCCGGGGGGGAGGGGGTGATGAGGGTGAGGGTGCGATTGGTGAGGGAGGGGAGGGGAGGGCGAGACGCCGTCGTGGGGCGGACTGCGAGATTGATAAAAGCCACGTCACGAATATTCGGTGGTGGCCGCGGCGCCGGTCTTCAAGCTCCTTCAACGTCCGCGGCGTGCGAGACAAACCTCGGCGCCTTTAAAGCATTCGGGGCCTGGAGGCGCGATGGCAGAACCATTTAGCGACGGCGTTCAGAGCGAACACGCGGCTGGGACAATGGGGTTGGTGAGGATGCATTGACAAAGCGAATTGCTTCGGGAGGCACTGAGCAATGAATGTGCAAAACATTAACCTCAGGTTCACCCTGAGCGCTGCTTGTACCTGACGGCTAGAGATTTCCCCTTTGTAATCGCCGTGTTGCTTTATTTCGTTATTTCGTGAGAAATTCACGGTTCGTTTCTGACAAATGCTTCTCTCCATTGATGAATGTGTTTCATCATCGTCATCATCAACGACGATCTACTGCTGCGTGGGGGCATCTGTGCCATTCGCTTAGTTTATTAACGCCGTGCCGCTTTGTCTACTAATATCACGAGAAACTGTCGGGTTATGTGGGACGTTTTTATTACGTGGCTGACTGGATTTGAAAGCAGGTTCTCGGCTGTGCCCAGCTCTGCACTCTGACCTTCAAGCCACCATGGCCACCGCCGCGGTAACGAGATGTTAACTACCTCCCCTGGTATGCAGGAGGACGTGGGTTCAATCCCGACCGTGACGCCTGCTGCTGTATATTTGGAGTTTGCGGCCCTCTCTCCCCGTGGTCACGTGCATTTTCCGCAGGGTCCTCCGGGTTTTCCCTCCACATTTAGAATCATGCGTTTAGATGATTTGGCTGCTATAAATTTACACGTGGTAAGCCACTTCTTTGAGGTATCAATTGTGGCCAGGTGGCTTCTGAAAAATAGCTGTATAGCTCAGTGGGCAAAATAAAATAAAAAAAAATACTTTAAATAGTAAATATTCTAAATTTACATTTTCTCCCCCCATATGAAATAAGTGTTATTTACACAACCTATCGGCTGCATGGCCTTCTGGGAGTGCATAGTTTCATCAGCATTGATTCAAGAGAAGCAAAACTCTGGACCGGTTTCGACATAAAGTGTCTCATCAGCAGAATCAGGCTTACTTGAATCAATGCTGGTGGACTGCCGGATTTTATGCGCATTCATTCTCTATTGGAGATATTGGCCCTAGATTGACAAAAAATTCAATAACACAGAACTTTTAAATAATCATTAGTGTTGTTATATAATCTCCGTAATCATGTTAACGATTATTTTGTGTTACCTAGCATGTAGAAAAAACTGAACACATCAATAACACTGTGGCCTTAAAAGTAAAATATATATAGTAGGCGATGTTGTGGGGCAATGTGCGATGAAGGTTCATAATTTTCAGTTTGGTTTGGCACTTAACTTGGCTAAATTCCAGCTCTGAGATTTCGAAATATTGGTTCGAGTAGCCTGCAACAAACACCTCTCATGACGTGACACCGAAAGCACATTCTAAATTTTTTTTTGTTAATGGGGGGAAATGGCAAACAATATGAACAAAAATAAAAATCTAAATTTCTTTTTTTTTATCACCAATTGACAAGAAGAGTTTACAGCCCTTTGTTAATCCACTGTTGGCTGAATGCCCCAACCATGGCCTTCTTCATCATGGGGATTGTTTAGCCATACTTCACCACGCTGGTCACTATGTCATGGTGTCGGAAAAGCCCAAGGGATCTTAAAGATTGCTCGCCACTGATGTTAGCCGTGGCTGGGAATCTCATTCAGGCCTCTGGGGCTCATGACCACTGCAACACTGCTCCACTATGTCTATATATTAATACGATTATAAAACACCAGCAGTCCTTGGCCAGAAATCAAATTGTCCCAGTGGTGAGTTTGAGACCCCAGGTTAGTGCAGTGCGTCGCATATTCCGCCGTCACATTAACCGCCCACCACCCCCTGCATGCCGGTGCACGGTGTGACCGTCATTCCTCTGGATGTTCACACATCTGCCTGCACCACAGTCCCCCATGGAGTCGGATATGTGACGTTACTCTGCAGCGGTTATTCTGAACTATCATTCACATCTCAGTCCTTATCCCTGAGCCAACGCGTGCACGGGGAAGCAGTCCGATGCCCGTGTCTGGTCAATGATGCCGCTGAGATTGCCAGAGAGAATCACGCAACGGCTGTTGCCGATCAAGTCCAGCGTGACATCGTTTGGGTTCATTGTGTGCAGGTGGCATAGGATGACATTAAACATTTGGAATTGATCAAAGATTGGACTTTCATTTTTGCAATCCATAACGGAGGATTTTTTTTTGGGTTAGATTGCGTAAATACAAATGTGTCGTTCAACCTGCCGCCACCCGACACAGCCAATTCCTGAGGTTCGTCACGTATAACAAAATGTGCCAATCAGTTACTAGTTCAGCACGTCGATTGCGTGTTGGAGAATAAACCCGCAACATTTACCAGTCGAGTACTGTGACGTTTGGCCGGTGACTACAACAACCAGCCCCATCAGGCCGACAGACAGGATTTAGTCGCGAAATTCGTCCGTGTCAAACCGAATTTGTTTACAATGGAAATCCACAAATGGGTGAAGGGCTCCACCCCCCCCCCCCCAAAACCCATCCGTGCCGTGGGGATTTTTTTGCTTAACCATACTTCACCACCTTGGTCAATGCGGGTGTGAGGGGATGATACCACTGCGGAGGTCTTTCTCTCGTGCCGTATACAACTTCAACACATTCGTCAATAGCAGCCGTGGCCTTTCAAGGAAACTCGCATAACACTCAACGGTTTTTTGTTGTTGTTTGGCAATGGCTCTTCTTCGCAGCGCTTCACTCTGCTACGAAGAAGGGGGCGATCCTGGGGCCTCTCTCTCGCTCCCTCTCTCCGATGAGTTTTCGAGTCGTTCCCACGTGCTGTCCGGCACGATGTCCGGCGTTCCGCTGCACGCGCCGCGAGCTTCTGCAGGAACGGAAGCGCCTTCGGCACCGTCGACTAGCACGGATTGGCTACGCGCGGTGCGCAAGAAGTTCGACATCCATACGCAACACAGGGTCGCGCGGAGGGATGTGTGCCGAAATCCACACGGGACGGTACGAGCGCATCGGTGATCAGTTCATGTATCACTTGACCACCGGTGTTGGCCACGGTTGGGAATCGGACTCGGGTTTGCAGGGTTCACCGCACAGCACGATAACCACCATTCTACCGCTCTACCCCACGCCTGCATATATATATAGTGCCCGATAATTTATTGGAAGCGCCAGGGGCTGTACAAACAGACAAAGGAAGTCCTGCGGGTGGTCTGAAAATGTCATGGCTGAGCCTCAAAATGTGGGCAGTTCCCGACGGGACGAGCGATTCGAGTTCTTGCTGAAAAATCTCGGGCCGTTGTTTAACTCCTTCATTGGCAGCGAAGCGTCGGTCACTCCTGAAACACCGGCCACTTCATCGTACGATACATCCGTACACAGATATTTGTTTAGGCGTTACTTTCCTTCACGGGGATGCCTGCGGTGTAATGTCCCGCACACTGGGCTTGCCATAAAGCGGTCTCCGGTTCGGTGCGATCTCCCGCGCGGCACGGCAGTCGAAACGATGGAAGCACGTTTTTTAAATCGCCCAGCCTTTGTCCACCCGGCAATACAAATGCGTACACCACACACAGTTCGCCAATGAGCAGATCACGTGCGGTGGGGTAAACTGTGGGTACTCCGACCTCCTCCAAGGCATCTTGGCCAGCCCAAAACACCCTCTCTGGGAAGGGCTCTCCAGAACACCTTCTAGTGAGAGGCCCTTCCAACAGCAGCGGCACGAGCGACCAATTGCAGCGCTGCACCTCTACCGCCACCCTTTGGCTTGCTCGCGGGTCAGCCGGATCAACCGTGGCGCCGATGCAGGAAATCATAAACGCAGAAGTGCACGACGCTCGGAGGTTATCGCTCTACCAGTGGCGTAACTAGTGTGGGGGCAGGGGGTGCCTTACCCCCACCACCCCCTCCCCACCCCCCTCCCTCCTCTGATGGCCAAAGCTCCTGACCGATTGCCGCACCCCCTGAGCTGATAATGAAGTCACTACGGCCACTGCGCTCTACGCTTGCAGAAACGAGCTGTGTCCAAAGGGCCGCCACTCACCCTCACACGGCAGACACGTTGTTTCGCAGTGCACGGTCCCCTTGGCTGCCGTGAGATCGTTTGAGAAATTGGCGTTTGCCCTGCCCAGCGATGTGTCTGATGGGTGTGAGGGCAAAACGTTTTTTTTTCCATTATTCCTTTACGTAATGATTTATTTCATTTCTCAACACTGCAGAATCTTCTTGGGGTTTCTTTTTAGTATTGCACGATTTCTATTAACTCACTCTGTCTGTTGTTGTTATCGTTGTATCCTCAAATCTTGTAACTCTATTTTAACCCACTTTCCAATGTGGTATAGACTGCAAACTTGCTATACTTGTGTCATACTGATGACAATACTATATTCTATCATTAAAAAAAATAACAGTCTTTTTTATATGTTATGTTTCGGCTTGGGTCTAATTGTCCACGCTCAACTGACGTTGGCTGTAATCACCACGGTCCCTCACGTTATGGCAAGCTTCGGGGCCACTTTTTGGAGTCGTGGAGTTCTTCCATTACTAGTAGGGTACATTTCATTAAAGCGTGTTTAAAAAAAGTTTTTTTTATATATATTACTTATTATTTAAGGTTGGAATAAGTGAACGCAACTGGATATTGCATTCTACGCCAGCATCTTGAACAGGGCAGTTTGTTTCTCTCTCCCTTGGACCATCCGCATGCTGCTTACGTATCGGCCACCACAACATCACGTCCAATAACTATGCTCAGGAATGCTTCAGATGCTGTCCGTATTTGACGATTACTGCCCTGGTCTGAAGGTTACCAAACTGATCCCTGCAATCCAGAGGTAACAGGTTCGATTTGATCTCCGGGCGAGATTTTAAAAAAAGTTTCTTGAATTTCCCCACTTATGTCAACTCCAGCACTATAAATGGGTGACCCATGGGTTACACCAAAGTTAGTCGTGTGGTAGGTAAATTGTGGATATCTGGCCGGCATGGAAGAGTGGGGACAAATATTGTCTTGAGGGGCTCTCTGCCAGCAGTGGAGGTGGCACACAGTTACATGCCTGCAACCTTGACACGGTTACCCATCCGTAATATCCCCATTCAGCTTTAGCAAATACTTACTTGCATTCACCATTTTTTCATCAGCCATGATCTGTCCACTGCTGGATGAAGGCCTCGCCAAGCCACCGGTCCTGCGATGAAGGCTCGCCATCTAATCTTCCTGCGCGCAGGCCAATGTCACCACTCCATTTCATAAATACTACACAGTATTGTACTGGCTGTGTCAATACATCGCCTGTGCCAAGCTAGGTGCATGTTCTGACAGGTTATTCGATACGCCCCCCCTCCCCCACCTTATCTCAATGATGGGGGATTACAGGCGAGAGACCCGTACAGGAATTACTCAAATCCAAGCCAATTGCACCTCCCACAATAGCCATTGCTATGGTGCAGCTGCCTGTGGCGAGGCTTGCTCTTGTCAATACAAAAAAATATACATCGTGTGTGTAATAATAATACCACCGTCATCATCATTGTCTATCCACTGCTGAATGAAGGCCTCCAAACAGCCATCGCCATCCTGCGTCCAGTGCTGCTGTCATCCATCGTACTCCTGCACAGGAACGCATTATTTATTCATTTTGTCAAGACAATATTAATATTTGCCTGTTTGTTTATTATTGTGCGAGGTAAGGCCCCACTGAACTATGTAGCTCTCTATCAAAAGCGTCCTGACCACAAATGACAGCTCAACGATGTCGCTTATCATGTGGATATTTTTTCTGCAGCCAAAGACTTTGAATGCGTGATGTTGATTCTAAATGTGGAGGGTAAAACCAGAGGACCCGAAGAAACATCCACACGACTACCAGTTTTCAAACTCCAAATATACAGCAGCAGGCGTCAGGGTCTGGATCAAACTCACGACCTCCTGTAGACCAGGCGAGGTAGTTAACATCTCGTGATCGTAGCACCCCCATCTCTGTGGTGGTCATCCTCCCAGATGCATTCCCGCAATTGGCTGCCACTGCCGTCACCAGCCTCGCCCATCAGCCATCATCCTGTCCCATGATGCCTCCTGTCCAAACCCATTCCCTTTCCTCTATTGTCACTTTGATGCCTCTGATTTGTACCTTATCCCTAATCTATGTGTTCCTTTTTCTCTCGGTGTAAATTATACTGTGTACAGGTAAAGGTCGGGTAATTCCACGTGTGCACCAGCGTGCCACATTGGGACTCGGTTACACCACGGTAGCGTGAGGAATAGTCTAGCCAAAGACATCAAGAACCACTTCCTGATCGTCGAACCCGCCGTTAACCTTCCTGGTTTCTAGCTGCCACGCCGGCCATCGTGGGCCCTGCTCGACAGGCTCCGTACCGGCCAAGGGTTCGTGTGCAGCAGCCGACCTCTCTCCATTCACGGGGCAAACGTCGTGAACCACAACAACCCGATTTGTGGACGTGGCCAGTGACAGACCGTGTGGCACATTGTCGACAAGTGACCCCTGACCAGACTCTAAGATGGTGGATTCAGGGTCCTGACCCTGACCAGACTCTAAGATGGTGGATTCAGTGTCCTGACCCTGACCAGACTCTAAGATGGTGGATTCAGGGTCCTGACCCTGACCAGACTCTAAGATGGTGGACTCAGGGTCCTGACCCTGACCAGACTCTAAGATGGTGGACTCAGGGTCCTGACCCTGACCAGACTCTAAGATGGTGGACTCAGGACCCTGACCCTGACCAGATTCTAAGATGGTGGACTCAGGACCCTGACCCTGACCAGACTCTGAGACGGTGGTTGCAGGGTCCTGTCTCCACGCTGTTGCTGATGAATCGGCTGTCACCTGGCTCGGCAAAACGAGCAGACGATGACAATAAAAATAATAAGTGATTCCACCACACTTTACCGACAGTTGTTGTTAAAGTAGATACCTGCCATTTATTGTCGGATGTCAATTACATGCACAATATTATTTATTTTTATTCTACCAGTTCGTATAAATATATAGATATGCTAATGCCCAAACGTTCACTCGTATACAAGTAAATGGTTATTCAGAAGCAAAGGGAGACACTCTGACTTGCTGATGTGTTTTTTGCACACATACTCGATATGCGCACACACACACGACACTGTATATTGTCCTGAAACCCACCTGGAAGTGGGAAATGTCAACCAAATTTGTGCTTTTGTGTGCGCTTATATTTTCATAAAGACACAACGAAGCCCGTCGCGTCTCGTGCCGCTCGCCACACAACAATGTAAGTGGCGAGCATTATCTTCCAAGTACGGAACACCTCTCGCCCACTCAATAATTGGCCAATAGCACCTTGCTATGTAGAGCACCGCAGAGCGTGGGCAATTGTTGGCACCGGGTCACCGCGTGGCTGCCATCCTGCTTACCGGTGCTTCCTCGCGCCTCTCAGTTGCGTTCACTCTTTGCGAGCGAGCGAATACTGTGCAGCGCGTTAAAAGTTGACATTATTATCACCAACCCTTTTTACAGTGCGGCTTTTATTATCCGTATCTCATAGGGTCCGTAAACGCTCCTATTATCTGTGCAGCCCTCTTCTTACTGCTGTCTACAAGTGTCCGCACTTTTTTCCCCATCTTGGTTTGTCAAACAACTTTCCTGTCCCCCCTCCCCCCCGCAGACAAGCGGAGTAAACTCGCACAACCCCGCGTTGTTGTGTCCCCCACACGTCGCCATGGTTAAGAGGAAGTTCCCCTGGAATGACCTGGAGGAATAGGTTGCGTGGGAGACCACACAAGCACGAACAAAACTGATTCGTGGCTCCCCGCTGCGCTTTGGGTTCGTGGCGCATTCCTCGCGAGGTTCGACCTTGTCCTCATGATGCGGCAGAGGCAAGAGAGAAGCCACGGTGCCAATTGCCTGCGAGCACGCTCGCGAACATTGGTTTCCTTGAAATATCCGGTGCAAGGAACAGTGACTGAATATATTCGGTTCGTACAGGTTTCCCGCGCATCATGCGGTAGATGCGTTCCAACCAAAGGGCGCACAAAGCGAAACCGCACGAGGAGACACTTGGCTGCCAAGTAGCGTGTACAGTGCATATAAAAAAACATTTATATTTTACAAGGTAAGGCCCACTGAGCTATGTAGCTCTTTGTCAGAAGCCGCCTGGCCACAGATGATAGCTCAACGAAGTGGCTCATAACGTGGCAATTTAAAGCAGCAACCAAATACTCTAAACACGTTGATTCTAAACTTGGAGGGAAAAAGCGAAGGGCCCGGAGAAAAATCCACGCGACCACGGGAAGAGGGAGACATGCAAACTCCAAATATACATCAAGCGTCAGGGTCGGGATCGAACCCACGACCTCCTGTATACCAGGCGAGGTAGTTCAAATCTCACCACCGCATCATACGTAGAATTTTTAGTAGAAATCCGATAGCCGCATATATACGCGAAATCTCACAAACCGCACCCGCGTAGAGCGAGCGGAAGCACGTACTTGCTCCCCCAGGAAAACGAACGTTTGTATCCGATGGCAAACATTCATTGCCCCCTACCCCCCCTCCTCTACATATTAGTACCTCCGAGTTAGGGGTGAGGTAGAATTCGAGATTTTGGTTCGGGCAATAGGGTTAGGAGTTAAAGGTCAAGGTTAGGGGGTTACGTCAGAGGTTAGGAGTTGTGGACAGGTATTAGGAATAGGGATTAGGTTTAGGGGTTAGGGATTAGTCTTGGAGGTTACGGTCAGGGGTTAGCATTAGGGGTTAGGATTAGGGGCTAGCATTAGGGGTTAGGATGAGGGCTTGGGATGAGGGGTTAGGATTCGGCAGAAGACCGCGATAGCAGCAGTAAGTTAAAAAAACAATCTAAACCACCCACGTCGACAAGCCTGCCTTGAAAGAAAAATGTCTAACTGGTGACGTTGCGTGCAATGGCCTTTCTTCATGGCACATCCAGAGGAAGGGCCTTTGCCCAAAACGTCGGCGTTGACGAGCGTGTTGAGTTTTTTGTATTAATTAATTGATTGCATGCGCAGCACTGCCAGCACACCACCACCGCAATTATTACAGTGGCGATAAATGAGTGATGATGAGGCGACTGACCGCCGGCGAGCAAGTGACCGGAGTGAATTGGTAAGACGTGGAGGGAATCGGCCCTCGACGGCGCTGAAATGACACGCAATGGCCCTTGGCGGAGAAGACGGTTAAATCTGGCATCACGGGGAAGCGAGTCGATGGTGAGGTTTGCTGGGTCTGGGCGGAAGGTTACAGTTGCAACAGAAAAAAAATCCCCACTGAGACCAGGGTTCGTGTGCACGAACAGCACCAGCTGATGAAAACAGGGGAGTGGTGGGGGTGGCGGGTTGGTGGGGGGGGGCATGGAAGTGAGTGGGCAGCAGATGGGGTGGGGGGCGAGGGAATGGGGGGGGACCCTTGGGGCGACGTGCGGCGCTGGGTCCCCGCGTGCGTTAATTCCGGCACCGCCGCAATGGATTGCCGTGCGAAAAGCAATCAACTCAGGCCCCGGCACGGCGGAATGAATATTGATCGCCGATTGGCGAGAGAGAGATGTTAGGGTCGTCCCGAATATCCGCTCCCCCCCCGTGCTAAGAAGCAAGAGGGGGGGGGGGCGGTGGGCGAGGTGGAACAGGGCACCGTTAACCCCAGCGCCGCGTCCCCATGGCGGAACGCACCCACGCGGTTATCCGTGACGTTAATCGTTGCCCCCCTCGCCTGCATCGTTGAGAAACGACTCGATGAGAATATGCAGCTTCTGCAGTTACTGCATATTCTTGCTGAATGGCTGTGTCGGGTGGTGGCGGGTTTTACGACACATTAATATTTACACAATCTAACCCAAAAACGACTTTATTACGGGTAATATTGGTCGTAAAAAACCTGCGTGTTAAACTCGATGATTCATCCGCGAATTGTATAAACGATGGCAGCAACATAACTACTAAATCCCATCATCAATAAGTCTGCGGGCTATGATTGGCTTTTGGAAATTAAGAAATTAATTTGGTTTTCGTTTTCACACGGGGAGCCCAGCCCCCATGCCCACGAAGGAGCTGACGGGAGCCGGGTGGCTTCTTTCCTGGGTAAACTTGCACAATTGAAATAAAGGTTTAACAAAAAATTACTTGTAAGACGTACAACCTATCAGCAATGTTGAGAGATTCGGCAAACGAATAAAGAAATCCCAGCGTGACTTACACAAAGATGGCATTACGAAAAGTTAATTCCGTCAAGGATCGATAAATTTAACTTTTTTATCGCGAATTTTTTTGTTTTCCAATTCGATACAAATTACGTTCGCGTGTGTTTTTTTAATCTTGTTTTAACTTTTCGCACACGGCGTGAACTTGCTGCGTGACACGAATGTCCTGTGCGCTGGTTGGTCGAAAACACTTTAGTCTTGTTTTTACGGGACCTATTACAGGGCCCTATTATGCATCATCTATAAACCGTATCCCTTACAATGCCCTGTTGATAAATTACCAGTTAATGCCCACTCATCTATAACCGTCTGCCGAAGAGCGTCATGATTACGCTCCAACTTATGTGATATCCGTCTGCAGACGCTAATGAACTTGGCTGTGAATATATTATTTCGCCCCGCGTAATTTTATAAATGAATGCAAATGCATAATCTGCTGGAAATGTTTCCGTTACTATTTCTCTCTCTCTCAGAGGTGTCGGCTAAACGACTGTTTTGAATCATTTCTTGCCACTTTAGCACGAGAAGAACCGCATTGAAGCTTGACTCAAAGCAAAGGCGCAGCGCTGCAATGACTCGCTCACCACGCCACTACTGGCAGAGGTGTCGCCACGACAAGGAAATGATCTTGGGACTCTATAAAATCAACTCTATAGAAGATCTTGGCCTACTCTTCCACGCGCGACAGACATCTCAGAAGAGGTAACGATATCCTCACTTTACCCCAACACACACACACGCCGTCACCCGCCGATCGATTGACCATGGCGAGGTGGTTAAGAAACTTGCAACCGATGTTGCAACTGCCGCCCCACGAGATCGAATCCAACCGGCGCCCTCTGGATTTACCACACGGCAGCTCAACTATAAGTTCAAACCGTGTTTAATCAACGGGAGCAAACTCTATCGGCGTGTTCTTTCTGCGATGTGTACCTTCGTATAAAATGCGGTGTTCGCGTAGCGTGCTTTTCGGTGTCCGAGGTTGGTGGATCACCCAAGGATGGGTGAAGCGTATCAGGGCCAACGAGCCGTTCGACTCTGCCGTGTGACCAATCGTCACCCGGCAACCAACTGGGATTTTGCGGAGAAGGAGAAAATGTATTTTTTTTAGTGCAGAATCCAAATTGCATTGCAGAAAAAATGTACAGAAAAAAATATTCCAAAACCGACAGTAATGCTAAATGGCAAATCCTAAATCAAATAAATGATTGTATGCATATTTCATAAGCACTTGGGACTGGCTTAACACCATACGAATAATGCTTTCACAAGTTAAGCACATAAAAATAAGTTATACGGTCACTTGCACTCTTTAATGCTCTTATTACGGTGCTTTGATGATGTGATGTACTTGTTCATCGCCTCACCACGGTGGCAAGTTTAATAAATTCCAAAATTGCTTTCACTCCGACGTAAATCACTGGACACGATTGTCGCCATAATCCACTCCCCCCCCCCACCCCCACCCCATCCCAACACCGGTTCTCACGTTAAGAGCGTGGCAAGTCGACGGAGAGGCCCCAGCGGCTCAAGGGGCTTGTAATGGTGGTGTCAGGGCACCCAGCCAGCAACGGCTGACATGCAGGGGCTCGCTCGCTTGCAGGCAGGCAGGCAGCCACCGATGATTAAGCCGAGCTTAAGGATTGCGGTGAGGTCGGTGGTCGAGACTTGGTCACCAATAACTGCACACACACATATGAAGGTTTAACACGTAGGCTTTCGCGAACAATATTACCCATGCGATAGAGGGGTTTGGGGGGGGGGGCTAGATCGCGTGAACATAAATGTGTCGTGAAACCCGCCACCACCCTACACAGCCAATTAGTAAGGTTTGTCATGTGAACAAGACATGCCAGTTCGTTACTATATTCTTGGTTCTTTCGGTGAAGTCACGTAGAAGGGAAACAATAAACTAATAAAAATATAAAACAATAAAATTCTCACGACGTTATCATTTTATTGTTCCTCTTCTACGTGACTTTACCGAAAGAACCAAGAATATGAATCCCTGCAGTCACGAAAGCTTTAGATCAAAATGTAGTCCGTTACTAGTTCAGCTCACCGCTGTGTTGCTGTGGATTTACTCTCCAACACACCGGTGTGCTGAACTAATAAGTAATTGGCACATTTTATTTACGTGCAAAAAAATACTAATTGGCTGTGTCGGGTCGTGGCAGGTTTAACGACGCATTTATATTGACGCGATCTAACCCGCAAACCGCCCAGCCCCATACGACGTAGGAATACACACTCAAGTTCCGCACGTATAGCTTGTCAGCAAACCTACTTTCTGTACCGCCTTGCACAGGTGCGTAAGCGTCGTGCATGTGAGCATTCAATAATTCTCACTCCAGGTTGCTATCTCTTTGTTTAAACTGTTTTTGAAGCAAACGAAGAAAGCCGTAACAATTAAACACTAAAAACGCGTTGTTATTTCTTTATGACAAATTAAACCTTCACGAATATGGTGATGTGTAGGCATGATGAACATATTCCACGCATGAAGGTCTATATCATGGGTGGAGAACCTCGGGGCAATAACTTAATTTCACATGGTTCATGCCCACATGAAGAACATTACTTCGAAACAACCTGCGAATGATATTTTCCTGTCACTGCAAGCATCTTGGCTATACTAGTCAGATACGAATCGGGTAACTACTGCCCTCACAAACGCGGGTTGGTTGTTGGCCATACACGTGGCCTGTAATCCAGCACTGTGGAGGGTTGATGGATTGCACACAGATGTTGTAAAAATTCCCTTCCCGTGGGCATTTGTGCCATGACCTGGCTTGCCAGGAGAAAAACTGTGCAGCAAATGTGCTCACCACCTGTTCCGAGTGTATGGGATAGAGTGTCATCCCTCGCATGCATAGATGTTCTCCAAGTGTTCATTAATAGGCTGAAAACATCTTAATGTATAGGCGACTGCAGAGCTTGGGAGGATGGGGGGATATAGTAGTAGGTTTTTACCAGTTTAAAAGGGTAAAAACCTACTACTATATTTTGCCACTGGTAAAAGAGATCTCATAGTGTAAATGCTTACCCCGAGCTCTCAATACTCTGATATTGCACTGTGTTTGAGTTGTACGCCTTCTGGTGTCATCTGGTCCAACACCAATGGGGACTAGGCTCTAAAGAAAGCCGTCTCGGGTGTGGACCAATCAACTTCAAGGACAGTGCATATTATTATCATTATCAGAGTTGCTTCTTTTTGTTTGCTTTTTTGACTACTTGTGTTGTGGTTATTGCAAACATGATGCCTTGAATAAAGGTGCCAGTTTTGTACCAGTTTAAAAGGGTAAAAACCTACTACTATATGTTGCCACTGGTAAAAGAGATCTCATAGAGAGGATGGGGGGAACTTACCGCGTGGCTGTGGTTCCTCGTATCTCGGGAGTGGTTTGTTCTCTTTCGAGAGCGAGCGAATATTGCGCACCTTGCAAGTTAAAATTATTAAAATTAAATGTTTGGAAAGCGGTCGTACAATTAAGGTTTTGGTTAAAAATGCATGGACAATTTATGTACGTGTAAAGACAGATTAATCATCATTAGGATCCACCATTACTCATATTGCAAAGAAAGACTTCCACAAAAGAAGTAACATGGTATCAATATTGGTTCCCAGTATTTGAGAACACTGTGTTCCTCGGGGGAAAGAGAGCAAACATTCGTTCAAGTGAGGAACAGATATTCGGCGTGGAAAGTGCATTCGTTGTCGAGACCGGTAACGCCGAGGTCCACGCACCGCACTTGCATTTCAATTGCAGGCACAACCTCGATTTCACGCGTGGGAAACCGGTGGCCCCTTTTTCGCCCAAAGAAGATCAACCATAACTCTGACGGATTTCCCCCTGAAGCTCCAGGAAAGAAAAAAAAGCCATTTAAAGTGAAGTGTGTGTGTGTGTGCGGATGCATTGATATTTCATCACTTTCTCTACAATTTTTTTTTTAACAAGAAATGTGCTACTATCACAGCTGCATTGAAGTCCAATCCCGAGGGTGTTGTGACTTGCAGCTTCACATGCCCACTCCATGAGATCCTGGGGTCTCTGTGTTAAAAATATATATTATATTTCCGATCGTTATCAAAGCACAACCAGTGCAGACTGTAACCAGTGATATGACGTCGCAACAGCGGTGATATAATTACAGATAACCGTAAGTGATAAAGAAAATCAATCTCTTCAAAAGAGCGCGGAAAATGGATTTGGAATTCATTTTGATTTAGCATGGAGCGGGTATTGAGGAGGAGGGGTGGTTGTGTGTGTGTGGGTGTCACTGTTATAATGCGTCTGCGTCCGTTTCCCATAAAGTTTGAAAGCTCTGCAGGCAGCCTTCAAATCAGCTGCTCGTACCTTGCAGATTGATGCCGATGTTGTTAAGAGCTGTGGAGATGCCACACCGTGAGAGCGGTGGCGCAGCGGTTTGCGCGACGCTGCACTACGAACCCGGCGACCCGAGTTCGATTCCCGCTCACGGCCAATACCAGTGACGATTATCTTTGACCGGTCCTGGGCCTCCCCTAGGTCGACTCAGTCCCAAATGAGTGCGGAGTGTGTAAAATCGCCAGTGGGGTGACATACGCGGCCGGGCGTGCTGCTGGCCACCCACCCCCTCGTGTGCCACGCTGGCCTTTCACCGGTGGTGCTGCTCGCTAACAGCACTTGCCCCAACAAGCTGTTACAGGCTATACGGGGGCCTCTTTGTCTTTGGAGGTGTCACACCGGTGCGGGCTAGGAGGAGGAGAGACGGAGAACGGCGGTGAGATGGGAGAATGAGATATGGGGACAGTGGATGTGACAAGTGGCACAGAATAGCTCATGGAGAGAGGAAATGTAAGCAGCCAACCCCATGTGGTGATGGGACCTGCGACTCATAGGAGGATGTGAGACGATGTAAGTACGGCCCGTGTAAGTCCGTGGGGTCTCAACGTAGGTATGTGCGAGTGTATGGGTCTCTGTAATTCTGTGAGCCTCAACGTTGGTCTCTGTAAGTGTATGGGCCTCTGTGCGAGTGTGTGATTCTCTGTGTAAGCCTATGTTGTTGTGAGTCTACGGGATCGGTCTGTAAGCTTATGGATCTCTGTATGAGGCAAGTGGATGTGACTCGAGAAGAGGCACGGCATAAACAATATCCCACGATGACTAATTTCAGATTTCACGTGCAATTCAAGTTAACCATGACCAGTAATCGAACTCATGGCTCCAGGGTTCATAGCGCGTGCTTAACCACCGTGCCACCGCTACACGCAGCAATGGGCTCTTACCATGCTGTAAAGGTCACCCTATCTCTCTTTATCTTAGCGAGCTGGCTCGAGCGGAAGGTTCTCCCCGTGACGCTGCGGGAGGGCTGTTGATGCGATTGCTCGGACACACACGCACGTGACCCGCCACTTTCGGAGCAGGGAATTGTTTGAGTGACGAAGGGGTGATAAGGCAACTGCTCATCAGAATCGGTTACCAGTTTCTGAAAGTCGGGAACCGGGACCTCATTTACAGTGGAATGTGAGTGGCAAATTCACGGATATGCACACACGGCACCACACGGCAGCAGGATGTATTTTTACAAGGCTAACAACAAATCAAATTCAGCATTCACAATTGAACAACTTTTCACTTCATCTCTGGAGACCCCTCCAGCTGGCGGAGGCCCCTGGGCTGCGGCCCCTCAAGCCCCCACGCCTTGATCCGGCCCGGCATGTGCCCCCTGCTGTGCACACTTGCGTTTTTTATCGACTGGCGCTTCGCTTGTTGTTGTGAACGTCACTCCTCCGCCCTCCGTTGTTGCTGGAGGGCGACTGCCTCCAACTGCCAAGTACCTGCGTCCTTCACGAGCCTCCTCCACAGAGGCTGGTCTTGACACCGCTGGTACCAGTCATTGGCAAATCCACACAGCTTCATTTCCTCTGTGACCATATATATACCATTTATACATATGCAGTGACATCAGTGATGTCACTGTATGGTGCCGGCCTGAGAGGGCCACAGCACACGATGCACCGTCATCGCATACACCCCGTAGGCTGGTGTAGTACCTGCCATAGCGGGGCTTGGTGAGCACTGGGATAGCGCGAGCACCACGCATAGCGTGTGGTGGGGGCTCCCACGAGGGGGAGCGGGAGAGTGGCACCCCAGCGGCAGGGTTGCCCCAGGCCATGGCACTCTGGTTGACCCCGCAGATACGTGATCTGGAGTGTCTACAGAGAGGCCCCCAGGTGGGGGGACTAGGGGGTGATCACGTGTCTGGGGAGAGCTCTCGAGAGGGATCGAGAGGGAGCTAGAAGGCTCCAGAAGGTGGCGGGGCCTAAGGCGGAGCGGCCCCGACCCATGGGGTGATATAAGGAGAGTCCCTGAGAGGGACCGAGGTCGCTGCTGTCTACAAGCTGGAAGCTCAACATCTACAA